TGTTCAAATGGCCACTGGTGTCTACAAAGCTATCCATGGGTATAAAGTCCCTGGAGGAATAGGAGAGCTATTGCATGAATGATCAACTAATTATAATCTTAGAGGAAAACACATCCTCGTGCTACCCAAAGTAAAAACAACCACCTATAGTCTTAAATCGTGGTGTTATACTGCAGCTAAGATTTAGAACACTCTTACGGATCAGTTTCGGGCCACTGATAAAATCAGAACATTTAAAGAACTTGGTGTCTATGTTGGATTTCTTAAATTTTACATTTTAATCAGGAAGTACTCTTAACTTTAATAATTTTTTTGGTTGTATAAATATATTTTTTATACAGGTTTTAATGAGAAATCTTCTCTTTCTTTTATCATTTCTAGTTTATTTATTTATTTTTTGTGGCATGTCTGTAAAGTAGCTAATTAGCTGAGAACATTTGACCATGTTAAATAAAGGTTATTGTATTGTATTGTATTGTTGCAGTTTCCTTTAATTAGATCACTGAAACCAGTGCAGACTGAGGCACTAGAGGTTATTTTTGATGGCAGAAATTTAAGCTTGAGACTAATCCTTACTGGTTAGAAACACGTTACAGATTTCTAGTTTATTGTGGGCCTCCAAATTTGAAATGTTTGAATTTTGTGGGATCATCAGTGTATTGGGATGAAAGAATATTCTTTATTAATTTTATTTAGAACATTCTGATCTGTCTGAGTCACAGAGCATCTGCTATATTTGCCACTCTTCCAGGGAAGAAGCCCTTATAACTCCATGCTAGTGTTCTGGCTTGGAAAAACATGTTCATGCCTCATGTCTTTTGACATGGTTTAAAAAAAGTGAAGAGTACTTGTGAATTGTGCCAGCATAAAGTTGATTTCAAGAAAAAGAGAAAACCCTATGCTGAGGTAATGTTTATTTCAAGGCCCTTTTCTATTGAGGCATACTATTATAATTATAGTTGATCTTCATTTTTCCATTGAGAAAATTTTTTTTTCATGGACAGATTCATTCTCCTCTGTTACCATCATCATTATCATCATTATTTATTATTATTACTTATCATTATGGCTGTCATTATTATTATTTTCAGCACCTTTGTCACATTTTCCACAC